TTCGTTTTCAAGGTGCACTGGCTAGTTCGGTTGCCATACTTTGAAAGCCTTAGTAATCCTAACGGCTTAGCTCCATAGTCACACATGGTTAACTCAAGACCAATTAGTCATGCAACTTCATCTATTTATCTTGAAGACTGCATCCCAAATGACCAGTATGCTTGGACTTCACTAGTAATTATTGCACAAGAGCTTTTTCATTGCTGCTCATGGGAATGTGTGGAATTCACACTGGGAGGGTAATCTAAGAATGGATTTATTTTGTGAGTGAAAGCTGAACCAGAGTGGCACTTTTTCTTTACTTTGCCAAATTGCTCCATCTCTGGGAGAAAAGAACTGGATGTTATCCCTTTAAAAGAGCCCAGTGGCCTGCTATGTTCATAATCCTCAAATCCCATGATTCGGTTTCCATCTCGCAGCCTTACTCCACACAGGCCTACTAAACATTTGGTTTAGATCTGACTTTTCTTTGCTCAAGAACACCACGATTTATTATTAGTCAGTAATAATAGCCAGCAGGCCCCAATATTTTAGGAAGAAACATAAACAAAGTCTAGTCTGCCAGAGGGAACTATGCTCTGGCTGTCCTCAGTCCGCTCAAAGTGGTCACCCGGAGTGACACTGCTGCCTGCCTATGTCTCAAAAGTGTCAGGTTGTTTAAATGCTTCTACCTATTGGATCATGCGATTCCTGAAGTCACCCTACAAAGTGTGTTGGGAGGAAAAAGAACGATAGTATTTTCGCGTTGATGTCGTGTTTACTTACTGAGCGCAGTACCAACACTAGAGACAGCAATTACCAGGCATCCGGAACTGAGTTAGTACTGGGGCCCAAGGCAGACGTGGTCCTCTCCCGAGATAGCTTAGAAGCTGGTGAGTCATAGTTTCCCACCATGAGGCAGGGATCCCAGGAAAGACTCCTGATGCCTTATGTCTCACCTACTACTCATTAACTGTGATAACATTCTTATTAACGTCGACGGGATGAGAATTTGTGTTATTTGTGGACGGGATAACCAAAACTCCCAGAGGTTAAGAGACCTGAATAAAGTCACCGACAGATAAGCAGTAGAGCCAGGGCTCAGACTGGGGTTTCCTCATCCAAGGCTGCTGATTGCATCCTGGATTCTTCCCAAATAGTGTAATCTCACGTCAACACAGGTCAATTCAAGCTCTCTTTTTCACTTTCCCACGTCTCACTGTTCGGCTTAGAAAAGTATCCCCTGCAATAGACATTGACCACCTAAAAACAGCAATTTTGAGGATTTAAGCTTTACAGAGGCTCAGAGAAGAGCAGGAAAGTCCTGGTGAGGCCAGTAGTGTGGGCAGAGCAGGGGAGGGGCGTCGGGGGTGAAAAGGCGGGGAGGTTCGCTCTGAGAGGTGATCCAGGAATTCCCAAGGGGTGGCCCTGACTCACCAAGTCACCAGGTCAGTTTGAAATGAGTCATTTGTGACATGGGGGGCAAACAACCTCAGTCCTGCTCTGAATTATCGGGAAGCAGGCTGGCAAAAGATCTCTCCTGGGAGAAGAATCCTAATTACGATGCCTGAGAATTTGCATGCCCCTCTACAGTTTGCAAAACACTTTCATACCCGTTTCTTCCTTTGCTGATTGTTTACTGCACAAGTGCAGAGGGGACCAGGGTTCAAGATGAACCAGTCTAGTGGTTTTTAATATTTGCCTGAAGTAAAATCTTTGTCAAGATGAAATCTCACTCAGCAGTCTAGTGTATCACATTGATGCCAGAGGGAGCTCTGTGGCTGGGATGGGGTCTCTAGTGGGGGAGGCATGCTGCTGCTGCTGCTAAGTCGCTTCAGTCGTGTCCGACTCTGTGCGACCCCATAGATGGCAGCCCACCAGGCTCCTCTGTCCCTGGGATTCTCCAGGCAAGAATACTGGAGTGGGTTGCCATTTCCTTCTCCAGTGCATTCATGCATGCTAAGTTGTGTCCGACTCTGTGCAACCCTATGGACAGCAGCCTTCCAGGCTCCTCTGCCCACAGAATTCTCCAGGCAAGAATACTAGAGTGGGTTGCCATTTCCTTCTCCAATGAATGCATGCATGCTAAGTCGTGTCCGACTCTGTGCAACCCTTTGGACAGCAGCCCTCCAGGCTCCTTTGTCCACAGGATTCTCCGGGCAAGAATAGTGGAGTGGGTTGCCATTTCCTTCTCCCGTGGGGGAGGCATAGCCCATACCTAAGCCTCTGCTTTGACCCCTGTGTATGTTTCTGAGGAGTTTCCAAGGAAATACCTAGTCCCATGGAACAGAAAGACAAACATTGTTGCCAGTGTTTCTAGTGACTACAAATACCCATTCCACTTTTCCCTTCTCCTCCAAAACAAAACAAAACAAAAAAACCTGAAAACCCTGGAGGTGATACAAGACAGCCAAGGTCATTCCTTGTCCAGGGTCTTTCCGTGAAACTCACCAGGGCTGGTTTCTCACGTGGTTAGAGCCTGAAGATTTGCCTGGAAGCCAGTTTGCCCCCAGTTGCTGAAGGAAGGTGTCCTCTTGGTCACAGATGGCCCGGCCAACTCAGCTACTACTGTGGCGTTTATCAGCGTACCTGTTGGTCAAGTGGGGCTCTTTGTTTCAGACGGGCCACCCCTAGAGACGTGGAATGTCAGCCTTTGAGCAGCTGGAGAACAGTAAGTCCAGTGACCCTTCAGCCCCAAATACTCTTCCTGAACATGCAAGAGGAGCAGCCCTTAATCAAGCAGGCTCTTCCCAGCTCAAAACTCACGCTCAACTACACAGCATTTGTTCTAAATGTTTGTCTCCCTTGCAGGTTCATATGTTGAAATCTTAATTCCCAGCATGAGGGTATTAGGAGGTGGGGCTTTTGAGAGGTACTTTAGGTCATGTGAGTAGAGCTCCCATGAGTGGGATTAGTGCCTTTATAAGCAGAGGCACACAAGAGAGCTTGTCCTCTCTCTCCCCATCCATCCCCTTCTTGCCCTCTTGTGAGGATAGGGCAGGACAGAGAAGATGACCCTCTGCAAACCAGAAGAGTGTTCTCACCAGAACCGGACCACACTGGCACCCTGATCGTGGACTTCTCAGCCTCCAGAACTGTGAGAAATAAATCGGTTGTTTAAGCCACCCAGTCTATAGTACTTTGTTATGGCAGCCTGAACTAAAGCAGTGGGGATGGCTGCACAATTTGGTGATTGCATGAAATGCTACCTAATGGCTAAAATGTTAAATTTTCTATTAGGTGTATTTTAGTACAACAACAGCAAAGTAAACTTTCATTGACTTCCTGTTTCTTAGGGACCAAGCTCAAACTTCCTAGTATAATTTACAAACTGGCCCCTGCTTACCCCCTAGCCTCATATCTTACTGTCCTTCTTCAACCTTTTTATCTGATCAAATGTTCCAATTGCTCTCCAAAGTAAAAAAGTGATTACTTTGCCTTAAAAATGCTGGCAAGGCTCTTTCAGGGTCTTGTCACAGTTTCTGGTAACCACTATCATATTCTGTGTGTCTCACCAGGCAAGAATTCCATTCAAGTTTACTTTCAGTGCTCCAAGTTAGCAATAAATGCTGCATTTGCTTTTCAAATACTGCATCACAATGTTACAGATAGATATGGAATTATATGCAAAGTATGATTTTTCAAGCTCAAAATGCCTCCACTGAGGAATATGACAATCTCCTCCCTTTTCTGAGATTTGCTAAGTAGAATAGATGGGGGAAAGTGGATTAACAGTCACATTGATAGGAATATAAATGGGAGCAAGAAAGAAGGGATCGATGTGTGGGTGGGTGAGAGGAGGGATAAAATGATGAATGGATATGTAGATGATGGATGGATGGATGAATAGATGATGTGTAAGTACATGTATGAACAGATATGTGGGTATGGACGGATAGAGGGGAGAATAGTATATAGGTGGATGTGGATTTACAGAGAGATGTGAGAAGATTGAGAATAGATGGATGACAAGTTGTATGGGAGGCTGGTTGGAAGAAAATGTGGTTGGTGAATGGGTAGACGAAAGGATAGGTAGTTGGATAAATGGCTGGACATGAGGCTGGGTGCATGTGAGGGCATACTGGATGGACAGGAGGGTAGATATATGTGTGAGCCCTGGAGAGATGTAAGATAAAATGGGTAGATAGAGAGAGGAATCTGTGGGTGTTTGGGAGGATGAGTGAGAGTGAGTAAGCCAAGGAGGAATGGATGGATGGAGCCAGGTGCCAGCCTGGGACCGGAAAATGATGCACAGGTCAGTAGAGCCAAATACCAGCCCCATGGCTGGCTACCATTAGCTTTCCCCGAGGAGTCCTGGTAAGAATCAAAAGTCCACCCGAAGCGTGTTAATGAACTCCCTTCTCTTTCAAGGGAAGGTCAATGAGCTCTTCCTCCCTCCCCTGGAAGAATCGCAAGCTCCCGACCATGGGCAGGGAAAAACCACATTTCCACTGTCCCAGCCCCTCTCCCAGAATATCCAGCTGCCTGTGAAACCCACAAAGAGTTCCCCAGCCTGAGTCAAAAGAGAAACTTTCGCGGAGGGGAGAGGCCAGAGGCTGAACCCAAAGGGGCGAGGTTTCAGGACTCAGTCATTCCCTCCTGCGTCCAGAGGCTGCGCTCCCAGCCGCCAGGCGAGGAAAGTCGGTGCGTCCTGGGTGCCCGGGGACCCCTCGACTCTCCGGGGTGCGCGCCCAGGCACCCCGCTTTATTATCTCGGGAGAGAACAGGGCGGGGGCGGAGGGGCCAGGGCTAAGGAGAGCTGGTACGTCTTTAAACTTCTGCCGGCTGCTTAGTCACAGCCCCCTCGCTTGGGTGTGTCCTCCCTCGCTCCCTCCCTCTTAGGTCACTCTCTCAACCCTCGAATAAAAACTGCACCCAACTTCCGAGGCGCCCTCATTGCCAGCCGGACCCCAGCCTCCGACAGGTTCGGGCGCCCTGCTTGCCCCGTGCTCCTCCGGCCCCCGCCCAGCGCCCGGCCCCTCCGGCTCCACTCCGCTCGCTCTGTCGGTCGCTCCGACGCCATGGACACGTTTTGGTGGCGCGCAGCGTGGGGACTCTGCCTCGTGCAGCTGAGCCTGGCGCAGATCGGTGAGTGCCCGCCCGGACGGGAGGGAGTGGTCTGGTCCCAGCCGGCAGGCACCCGCGCGGGCTCCGTTGGCCCTAGGGGGTCGGGGTCAAGTGGGCGGCGAGCGGCTGGGATTTGGCGAAGGACGACCGGGCGAGGATTTGCGCTAAGCTCTTGGAGAGCCAGTCGGTGGGAAGCACCGTTTTGTGGACCGGCAAAGAGAAAGAGCGCAGAAAAGTTTGCTGGGCAGCAGGCTGCTGGCGCGCGGCTTGGGGTGGGGTGGTTGGAGCCGCTGGAGCACAAGGCAGAGAGGAACTGGACTCCTGGGTGCGCGCAGCCTGTGTCTGGATTAATAGGCTCCTGTGCCCAAGGGCGCTTGAAGCCAGGCTGCGCAGGGCAGGGACAGGGGCCGGGGTAGGGACAGGGGTGTTGGCGAGGTGGCCATAGAGATGGGCACTGTCGCCATGTGTGAGATTTGGTGGCAGCGAGCTTCCCAGAAAGGGATCCTGAGTTCCTGTGGCTCCCCCATTTCACCTAGGTTCCAAAGCTCTTACAGTTGGCTCAAGTCACTAACAATCTTAACGCTTGTGGGAACTTGAACCTTCTCTGCGTCAAGGTTCTGGGTCGCCACGAGGTGCCAGCCTGGGGCAGGGAGTGTGAGTAGGAGAGGCAGTGACTCGGCCAGCTGCTCCATCCTGGCAACCTCCCGCAGGCTGCCAATCAGTTAGGGGAAATCCAGACGGTCATGTGGCTCCCGATTGGTGCCTGGCAGCCTCGGAGCAGGACAGGGGAGCAGGCTCCCGGGTGGCATCAGGGATCCGGGAGCCGGTATCCTAGCTCCACAGGGTCTGTACCGCTCAAGGGCTGTGGAGGGGGTGGCTGCGTGTGAGGTATTCTGGCGGGGCTAAGCTCCAAGCATTCCTTTTCTTTGTCTTTATATGTACAGATAATTACATGGCTGATTTGCTTATCGCTAGCAAAATTAATTTTTCTTTTAAGAAATGCCAGCTGGGTCATTAAGACAGCTCAACCTATGGTTAATTCTACTCAGCAAGTGTTTATTAAACCCAGCTCTGGGGGTATCAGGAAAGTAAGAGACAGTCCTACCGGGATACTTTAGACTGAGAATAAGTGAGGGTCTAGGATTTAGATTCCTGAATCTGAAAAATAGTAATTAATAACAATAATTAACAATAATCAGAATGACAGCACCAGCTCCCATTTATTATACATTTGGGCTGGACCAGGCACTGTGCTAAATTCTTTACATGTGCTATCTCGTTTTACCCGCAACGATGGCCCAGTGAGAAGTGTCCTGTCGTTAGCCCTGTTTTGCTGGAGGGCAGCCACCTGAAGCTCAGAGAGGTTAAGTGACTTGCCTGTGTTCACACAGTCAGAAGACTGCTGCTCCTGTGAACCAGGCTTCTTTGCCTGTTGCTTAGTTAGCAGTGGTTAAGCTGTATGTATGGCATGGACAAACTCAGAAAGGATTTTATGGAAGGAGGTGGTGGACCAGAGGCTTTAGAGGAGGCTTTCAAAGGGAACTGGAGTGCCAAGGAACTCTTGAAAGGCAGCAAGACTTGGGGTGGGAGAGAGTAGGGGAAGATTTCCAGGAGAGCTGTGAGCCTGGCCTCAGGGAAGAACTTGAGCCAGGCTGGTGTCTCCCTGGCCTATAGGGAAGTCTGTTTGTATGTTACCTCCCCAGGGCATCTTCTGCTTTGCTTCTGAGGATTCTGACTCCTGACTCCTTCCATCCTGTAGCCCAAATTCTTCTAAAGGGCCCCATCCCCTGATATTTGGCACTGTCCTCACCCTTTAAGTTCCCCCCTTCCCCCCAGATGGGCAGCCTTGCTCGTGCTCTGGGTTTCCGTGGTCCCTTTGGGCAGCGTCATTTGGAGGAAGCGCAAAAAATGCCAGTAGCAATAACTGCCTGGGCCCAGGCTTTCATGTGCTTGTAAAGCTGTTTGGAAGGAACTGAGACTTGGAAAGGAGATGTGACTTAACAGTGGGCTCGGGCTGGGCAGGCAGAGAGAGGAAGGACAAAGAGGAGGCAGGGAGACTCTCCTGGTGCCCCACCAGTGAAGGCGGTGGGCTCCAGAGGACAATGTGGACATTCTGGCAAGTGGCAAGGCTTTGGGGAGGAAGAAAGGGTCTGATCTTCATACTGAAAAGCAAGAAGTGAGACATGGCCAAATACAGTTATGCAGCATTGGACCCAAACTCTCTTAAGTTGGAGAACAGATACCTTGAACTAGCTTTCACCCATGGAAGGAAGAAAGTGGCCCTGGGTAAAGGGCAGTGAAGGGAGTCCTCCGTACCTGTCTGCCTCCTTTCCTCTGTGGGTGAGGGGGTCCTTGCTAAAGAATTGTGCCCCTTGTGTTTAGAAAGAGGGGTGCACCTGAGAACTCTGGGGCTTTGGGGGTGGCTGGCACCCTTCTGATCCCTCTGAGCACGAGACCCCTCTTTCTGGGAGTTAGACTTTTGACTGTGTTTTCCCAGGTGAAGCAGCAACAAAGCAAACCTCCATTCCCACTGAGGTTGGTTAGCATCAATTAATTCAGTCATTCCCCAAATACACAATGGACATCTTCCTTCCTGCAAAGGCATAGTGCCAAGTAGGTGTGTTTGAGTCTTGCAGCCAGTAGAAAAACTTTCCCTTCTTTTTCCAAATTGGCCCACGCAATTTGGAGAGGCTGCTGGGCAGCGTGAAATTCTTAGTTTATGACAGATCCCTTTCCACTCATTCAAGAAATATTTCTTGACTCACTATCGTAGACTCCGAGATGGGGACTCCAAGGACCATTTAGAAAAACCCTTTTATTTTTCCCCCGAGGAGGAAACAGATCCCCAGAGAGAGAAAGGTGACTTCCCCTCTCTCAGGCTGAGTGTTAGCACAGGACGCTTTCCAAACCTCAGGTCTCTGAAATAAGTTGATCCTCCAGGACTGAACCCCACCTCCACTACTTACAGTGGGTGGGGAATGTGTCGTCTACAGAGGTAGCAACGTTTGTTTCATACCTTAAATTACTGTCTTAAATGCTCAATACAATTTTATATTTTCCTCCACAATATATCCAGTTTGGGTTTAATGTAAGAATAAAGATGATAAATTTCTTCTTATCAAGCAAAGTGGCTGCTTTGGGGTAGACGCTCTGTACTGTCCAGTGTCTCCTGGAGTGTCGCTGGATCCCTCTCACTTAGCAGCATCCTGGCTTTAAAAGCCTAACACTCGGTTCCTGTACAAAGTAGGGTCCTAAATCTGCAGGAAATACCATTTACCAAGCACTGACCCTGGTGGCTAAGTGGTAAAGAATCCGCCTGCAAGGCAGGAGATGTAGGAGATGTGGGTTCGATCCCTGGCTCATAAAGATCCCCTGGAGGAGGAAATGACAACCCACTCCAGTATGCTTGCCTGGAAAACCCCATGAACAGAGGAGCCTGGACGGCTTCACAGTTCATGGGGTCACAAAGAGTCGGACACAACTGAGCTCACACGCACACAATTCATAGGAGGCATTCAGCCATGGGCTTTGAACAGGTTATCCTATATAAGCTTCAAAATAGCCCTGTGTATGTTTAGCAATCTTTTCATTCCATTTTCTAGATAAAGAAGTTGAGAGGCTCAGAGAGATGGAATAACTTGCCTGAAGACACACAGCTAGTATGAGTGATGGAGTTGGGGTCCTCTGATGTCTCACACCCTCTGTGTTAGAGTCCAGTGCCTGTGTTCCTTTGATTCATTATTTGCCTCTGGAGGACTCTGGAAATTGTGTGAGGCCAGCAAACGTGAAGCCTGGGATGAGTGGCTTTCCTCTTCCCCAGCAGGCTGAGAGCTCTTAGCTGCCCTGCTCTGCCCTGGCCTGTCTCTTTTCCAGTCCTGGCCACAGCTGTCGAGAGATGCCAACCTAGCTATTTGTTACTAAAATAAGTCAATTCCCTTATCAGAGTCCAGCTGCCCTTCTAGACATGCTCTCATTTGCAGGCTTGGAAAAAAGGGAGAGGCTGTTCCTTGTCTAAGAGACAAGTCAGGGCAAGGCTTTCTGCCTGGAAATGGAAAAAAAAAGGCCGGGGGTCTTGCAGAGGCTCTGACCCTGCAAGCATTTTAGGTGCAGTGACCCAGGAAGCCCCCTTGTTACATGCTCAGTGGAAACCCTCAGCATTTATCAGGTTGTGTGTGCCCCAGTGAGGGGGAGTGTTGAGGCCCCCGGTGATGGGCCGAAAAGGTTCTCTAGAAAAGGCAAGGATCTTGAATGGAAAGTCAGTGTGGGGTGCGAGGTGACACGTGGCCACTCAAGTGAGATTTCAGTTTGGCCTTGACTGTCAGACGGTTCCAGGTGGGGAGTCCCTGATGAAGAGGAGGTTATGGGAGGGACCAAGCCTCCCCGGCCACCCAACCTGGCTGGGATGGGGGCTGAGTTACAGGCTTACCCCTGTGTTTCCCCGCACCTCCTATTTAGTTGACTCCACCCAGAGACTGAAAGGGAAGTGGGTCTTGTGAAAGAATGAACTGAAGCAGGTGGCAAATCCCGCCACCAAGTGGAGTTCTCAAAGGGGATCTTTTCTGCTTCAGAGAGAACGTCTGAGGAGTTGCAGAGCCAGATGCTGATGACTCAATTTCCTCTGTGTCTTTGCTTCAGTGGGAAACACACCAGTGTTCTCTAGACTCGCCAGGGGAGGCTGATGCCTCCAACCTTAAATTGGAATGCCACTCTTAATCCCTTAGCATGTTGATATTTTTCTTAAAAAGTGTGCTCCCTCGAAGCTGCCCAGCAAAGATTTGGGAAGCCAGCCCAATCTGCCAGAGTAAAGAAGGAGTGTTTTCTTAAGTGTGTGGTTGTGGGATCTGGCTTGGCATGGACACAGCGGTTGGGAACTCTGGATTTTCCAGGAGGGTCAGGATTTCAAACATGCATATATTCTACCAGTTGAAGTCCAGTGTATATTTTGACTTAATACGGATTTTTTTCTACAAATAAGTTGCATGACTTTGTGTGATTAGAAGTCAGAAACTGGCATGAATTTT